GCAAAGTTGGCTTTTTTTTTATGACCCACCCTGTACGCCTGTCAAATTCCGGAGCAATCTGATTCAAAATTATGGTGACTTTCAGCCAAAAATGGAAAATCACCCTGTCCTAAAACCGAAGTTTAAAATTCTTCTTAAAATTTTTGCGACGTGAAATTGCTTTAATCTTTGCATAGTTTTATTCAACTAGTGGTACTGACTTATTGCTCAAAATATCCCACGACTCCACCTTCCAAAATAAATTTTTTTACGCAACCTCGAATTCGGTTTATTTCGGGTTTTGATGAATTTTCTTGGCGCCAACGGCAGGTTAAAAAAATTCATGAATATGGCTTTAGCATGCGCTATTTAAATGGTATCAGATACAGATAAAACGATAATTTTCAAGGCGCTACTAAATTTTATAAAATGGTGACAAGGTTTGGAAAAAAGCACGAACGAACTGTTTTGGAGGCCCTAAAAGACGCCCTTCCAAAGGAGTACGGTGGCTCGAAAGTTTGTAGATGATAGATCAACCGTAGAACACCATAGCTACGCAAAGAAAACAGCTGAGTCCCCTTTGGCAATTTAGAAATACTATTCCAAAGTTCCATTTCGGGACCTCGAAAAATCCATGACCAGGGGTCGTTGAAAAACTCGAAAATTCGTCGATCCCGAAAGTTTTTTATTAAGGTTTATGTGCTTGTGCATAGCCCATATGTATTTTACAACCACTTATTTTGATGTTTCCACCATAAGTTTTTTTAATATCAGAAATTTACGAAATTTCTCTATATAAAATTTCATTCCTCTATAACTTTTCAACCAGACCCTCAAAAATTCTTAAATTTTGTAGGTACACCAGATGGTTCCAGTCGCTTCGCGACTGTAACCATCTGGCCTTCGGGCTACCCTTTATTTCATACACCACCACATCCATCCCTACCTCTCCCAAAATACCCCCAGCTAATGGCTACCGATACCTCCCCTAGCCGAAATCCCCTTCAAAACATACCTAAATACCTTCCTGATGGCTTCAGATACCTCCCCTAGCCGAAATCCCCTTCAAAAAAACAAAAATAACGACCGACCGGATGGAATGCGAGAAAAAAAAGAAATGAAATCCCCCGTGAAAATTTTCATCCACGAAACGCGCGCGACCTGGCTCACTATGTCCAAAATCACCCCAACCTCCGTCCCCCACCCCTTTTACTAAGGAAAAAACTTTCAAAGTTAATTTTAATAATTTAAATTAAAACTTTTTCATAATTTTTTATCAGTTTGGGGTTTTCTGACCACGCTCTATCCGAATCCGAAGAGACCTAAGCTCTAGCTCCTTCCCCCTTCGAGTTGAATTCGGGACATGACGGACGGACAGACAGACACCACAGCAAAATTATTATAGTAGATAGCTGCCGATATATATTAACTTACTTAATAGAGTTTAAAAGCCAGCCGCCACAGGAAACTGAGAAAAATGCAAATGAAGTTCGATTCTCTACCGTTCGCGAGTTATTTCGACCCAAACTGTGGGCTTTTTTGCCCGCCCTGTAGGGGTTTCCGTGGTATTAGTCCCACCAAATATTAAAGGGCTGCCGACGGCATGTGTCGATCCCCCCTCATCAACAAATTGGCAAGTAGCCAACAGGGCAGAGAGCGCGCCCTGGGGAGAGGCGCAGAGACATTTTCTTTCCAGCACGTAACCGATTGATTATGCCGTCGGCATCCCTTTAAGTGAAAAGGTTCCGCAAAGACTTCTCTACCTCAAGAAATTTTTTCCAGAGTAAAATTAATTAAATAAGCTTCGATTTAAGCGATTTTTACAACGCAAAATTAGGTAAGACTCTACTTTACCCCCCAGACGCCCCTTTTCTCTGCGCCCTCTCCCCCAGGCCTACTATCTCTTCGCCTGCGCCCTCTCCCCCAGGCCTACTATCTCGCCTGGGGGAAGAGTAAGAGTTTAGTTCAAAAATTATCCCGTTCCTTAATCGTAATTAGGGATTCGCAGCCGGAAGTCGATGGAAATCGATGCAAAGTCCAAAAAGATGAAAAAAACCGAAAACTGTGTAGAATTGCGGGAAAAACAGTGTTTTTATTATAACTCAAGAACCGATATAGCTACGGGGCTCACAATGAGGACCAGGTCAGAATTGTCGGGTCGTTTCGTGGTTTTTTTATGTCACTTCAGAGGCCTATAACTTTTTAATTTGGGGTATTGTGCAAAAAATGAGATTAAGAAACTCCACTTTATTTTTGGTTTTCTAGCCACTGGAAAACTTTGAAGTCGATTTGACACCTGACCCAAACGACCTTTCCTTGTTAGCAGTTTTCGGCTATATTTTTGGACTTTGCAACGATTTGCATCGACTTCCGGCTGCGAATCCTTAATTCCTCTTCAGATCTGAGCTGATTTTTGCTTGTAAAAAGACTTTTAAAGAAGCGTTTATTTTTTGTTGTATCTCGAAAACTACTGTAGCTGGCGGGCTATAACTCAGGATTGTGGTCCTGTTTACTGTTGAAACTACCATTCCATAACTAAATCTATAGAGTTTATTAATATAATTGGGAAATAGTTATACTTACCATATCTGCTCGTTACCTGATACTTGCGGAAATCCCGTGTCAGCATTTTCCCCCGTCAATCGGCCAAGGCAAATTGGTTTCGAAATCCTGAAGCGAGCGCAACCTGGTCTCGCAAGGGGCGTAACCCTCATGGTATTCAATAAAAACTGTTAGCCCGGGTAAAGTAAACGAGAAAATACTAATAGCATAGTACGCGAGTGACTGATAATTTTTGGGAAAAAAGTGCCCTGGGTAGGAAAGCTGTATAAAAAAACATCAATATGGGTTTTCAAGTTTTAGGAAGCATAGAAACACAAAACAGCGTCCTGTTGTAGCCAGCTTGTTTGAAAGGGTGCAAAAACGCGTTTCTTCCGAAGGTTCTTCACCCATATCAAGCTGGACCTGGTGACGAAGGCTGCGTATCCTGCAATATTGGGCTATTCTGTTTACTGTTTTGGTTTTGGCTTAATGTATTTAATTTTTAGTGGGCTGCACGCCTGGATCTGACTAGAAATTGATGCTTCGAAAGAGCCATGAATTATTGGCACTGTACTTACTCCTACTCGGCTGCCGACTACATTGGCGAGCGCAGACTGCAGCGTCTAATAGGAATTGAGTCACCTACATAGAGTCATTTTGCTATCAATGAATAAGGTAGAGAATACAGCTGATTTTGGGGTTAGGACTTACTGCCGGTAGGTGGGTGGGCTGACAGTGGTAGTAGGCGAATATACCGATTACGTATTGGAAAAACAAACACATTAACAGAAATATGTCAAAACTTACCATCGGTGAGCTTGGCAATTATGGCATCCTAAATGTTTTCGTTTTGCATTAACCTTACCCTCCGGGGACGCAAACATTAGACATTATTACCGATCCGTGGGGAACGACTGCGCTAACACCGCTATTTAGACCTACTTTTCATAATAGGAAGCCAAAAGATGGGGAAAACCTCGGCCCAGAAATAAGCGGTGTGCTTCTGCGACAGTATCAATCGAAGAATTCTCGTTCAGTACAACGAAGCTTATCTAACCCTACCTTTCCTCGCTCAGAAGAAAAAAAACAGTTGGAAAGTTCAGTCGAAAGGCGCCATAAACTGTCCCTAAAAGTATAATTGAGGATGGACTCACCTGTAGCAATACAAACTTAATAATAATTGATATATTTGTAATGATCAATAATAATTTGTTGTTCTTACGATGATTGTTTGATAGTTTTTTGGTGGAAGAGGGGAGAGGAGGGTGTGCGGCGACGCGACGATACTTGGGACAGGGGGACGCGGTGCGAACGCGAAATCCCGGCGTAAGGCCGGTCAATTTTCGGCCAAATGCCGGAGAAGGGATGTAAAGTTAATTTTTGATAGAAAAAGACAGAAAAAGCAAACAGTAGCAGTAACAATTCGGCGCGCAGGAATTAGGGGAAGGGGGCTAATCCTAGATACAAACCGTTGGAAATAGGTGTTTGATTCGAAGTCGCGCGGTATTTTTTTTTGAGCAACTATAGTCCTATTGTATTATATAACTGTTCTCCTATTTTTATTAATCGGTATTGCTTACACATTACCGTTTCAGGTCGTGTTCGGGTGGCAAGGAGCCAGGCAGCCAAGCGCGACAAGGGCAATTCCGGGGCACCCGGATACAACGAGAGGCAAAAACCCAGCGCGCGACGGGAGGATAATCGAAAGCAGGTGACGGTGACCCGTCTGGGGGGGGGATTCGGGGTAAATGAGTGGGCCAGGTGTGGGGCGGGTGGGAAACGTCTAGGAGGCGCGCGATTCGGGTTCACTGAACCCTGCCCCGGGCTTGGGAAATAGGCGCAAAGCATTCATGCGGCATAGCGCTGCCACCGGATTAGAATAGGAGCAGTAAACATTTATGAAAAGTTTTTCACATTCACTCTTATTAACTACGTGTTGTGCTCTATTGAAGCCCTATTTATCGTCGGGAGCTGCGTGGTATTATGTGAAGTTCGACCAGCACATGGGTTCTTGCAATGGCAATTTGACGTGTTTTCGAGCTCCTTTTATGCGTGGCTTTACTCAGTTTGTAATTGGTTCGATAGCATTCTGAAACGCGCTCGAGGATTAGAAGTACTCAAGTGGCTGTAAGAGTGGAATGTTTTTGGCGAATGCATTGCGCTATTAATGGTCATGGGTTGATGGGTGGGTTAATGGTCAAGGAAAAGGAAATCAGCTGCTGATGTTCATTTAGCATATCCTAAAAATAGCCTTTGTGTGGCCTCTGAATTAATAGCGTGCTGCGTCAATGAACTGTCTCAAAATTTACCCGTAGATTTAAAGCCCGGAAGTATCACAACGTATGAAGTGAGATATGAAATATCCTATATAAAGTCTAAAATAATAGAGAAATAAATATGCATCAAAAGAAAAAAGTTTTTAGGGTGCGTTTGACGCGGCGAGGGCAAGGAAGGAATTAGTTACACGTGGAAGGAGGTTATGGGTTAGGGGAGGTGGTGAACTGGGGTTTAGCTAGGCTAAAAACTGATGGGGATGTTGATTTGGACAGGGAAGGGGAAGATAGTTTAGAAGGGGAGGGATGGGGAAGATAGTTTAGAAGGGGAGGGGCACGGTGGGTTAGAGGGGGAGGGGGAAGATAGTTTAGAAGGGAGGGGACGGTGGGTTAGAAGGCGAGGGGGAAGATAGTTTAGAAGGGGAAGGGGAAAAGATAGTTTAAAGGGGAGGGGCACGGTGGGTTAGGAGGGGGAGGGGGAAGATAGTTTAGAAGGGAGGGGCACGGTGGGTTAGAGGGGGAGGGGCACGGTGGGTTAGAAGGGGAAGGGGAAGATAGTTTAGAAGGGAAGGGGAACGGTGGGTTAGAAGGGGAGGGGGAAGATAGTTTAGAAGGGGAGGGGCACGGTGGGTTAGAAGGGGAGGGGGAAGATAGTTTAGAATGGGAGGGGCACGGTGGGTTAGAAGGGGAGGGCGATGGTGGCTTAGAAGCCGAAGTGGATGTGGGTTTCGACGCGGAGGGGGACGGTGGGTTAGAATGGGAGGGCGATGGTGGCTTAGAAGTCGAAGTGGATGTGGGTTTGGACGGGGAGGGGTTAGACGGGACGGGTTGAGGGTGGAGCGGGTTCTGACATTGGGCGCACAGTTGTGGAGGAGTGGGGCGGCCTCTTTTACGAAGAGCGATAAACATTTCGAACATGGCCCACAAGGTGGCAAGGAGAGCGACGACGAGGGTGTTGAGGTCAGAAAAGGCGCCGTGTACATCTTCTAATATCCATAGCGCGACCATGGAGGCGACCTTGGCGATCTTCCCGACCGGCGGGCCCGGTAGAATAGCAATCATGTCGGACACCAGCCCCGCGGCCCACTTCAAGGGTACAGTGACCTGAAAACGTGAGTTTTTCATCATCCGGAGCTTTTCCAGGTGTCCCGAAAAAAAGGCACCCTCTAGGGGTCCGCAATGATGCCCGATTTTGACGATTTACTTACTTATCGAAAGCTCTCGACGAGCTGAGGAGATTTTCTCCTTGTTTTTCAAATTCCCGAATTTTTATATTATTTTCTAGAATTGCCTGATTTATGCCCAAAAATCGATGAAAATTTCAAAAATTTGAAAATTCGGGAGTTTACCTATCGGAGAGAACATATCCTGTCTTACGTTTACAGAAAGATGCATATTTTGGAATATTGCGGGTTTTTGTCCTAAACAATTGCTTGGGAAAAGCATCAAAAGTCCGGCGAATTTCGAAAAAAAATTCTAGAAAGCTCGTCGAGGCTTTCGGTAGATACATAAATCGTAAAAATCGGGGATTTGTTTTAAACCCCTCGAACTTTAGGCGAAAAGGCGGCTGACAGTTCTCAAGCATGTGCATACCAGTGTGACGTTGGACTGAATGACTGGAAGACGATGATACATCTCCATGAGGGTCTCGTTGGGTGGAACTCGGCTCGCTTCGAAGTCAGCTAGCTGCTTGTCCTGCGCCTTGATGGTCTGTTCGGCTTCCTGGAGCTTGACCGTCAGATCGTCGATCTAAGTACAAGATTGAGAAGGGGCTGGAGACACTTACTTGCTTCTGCAGTTTTTGGAATTCATTGATTTCGCTGGCAAACGAAGTCTAAACAAAGTTATAATGAAAATATGGTAGATTTCAGATATTTGATCGATCGTCGTATGTACAATCGTTCAGAACACATATGAGAACGTACATTCTGGGTGTCCGTGTGCGTAATCGTGGCCCTATCATCCAACGTCGTGTTTTCCAAGAAGACGGGCTTGACGAGGAGAACTATCAATAAACGAAACATCTGAAAAGATGTGCATTGTTCCATTAACAAGCTTTTGAACAGTGAGAAGGAAATTTGGTTCTGAATTGTTAGCGGGGGTGGGGGTGGGAGGGATAGAAACCAAATTTTTCCGTGTGATCCTCTACGGCCTCATAACAAAATATAAAGCATTTTTAAAGTATTTTACACGGTTTTTAGATAGAAAAATAATAAAAATTTCGAAAATTTTTTGAATTTTTGGTGAAAAATGTATGCAAAATGATCAAAAAGGTCAAAATTTGCGCATTTTTGAAATTTAAAAAATATTTGCTTATAACTTTCTAACAATCAAAACTACTAAAATACTATGAAAAATACTTAATATATAATCAGCAGGTGAATGAAAAGAGAAAGTGGCTCCCCCCGCTAACAGTCCAGAACCGAACCGGCCATTTTGTATCTCTTGAAATGATCACATAGGCTTTTGTTTGTGGGAAAGGTTGCGTGCTTGCGGAAATATGAGATCAATTTTGATGACTCAAAAGTTTCCTTGACACCCTTGATTTTCAAAAAAAGTATATGCGGGGACCGGAAATGGGCGGAGTCTGCGAATCGTCGCATTGGGGCCTGAATTCGGGCCCCTCGTTTACGGTAGTCGCGGGAATAATTTTCAACCTGCGTTTTAACAGCGCTATTAGGAATTTTTAGGAACATTATAGGAGCCAGCTGGCCGATCGGATTCTGTTAAGAACTAGCCGCTTTTGCCATCCGGCGATGTGACCATTGATTTTTCTTCCTTGCACGACAACCAGATTCGGGGTTGTCATAATTTGTTGCAACAATCTTGTTTAGGCCTATCCCTGCCATTCACCTTTACCAGAGTTTTTTATAATCAAGTAAATTTTGGATGCGGCGGGCTAATTCCTTCATTCTAGTTAGATGGTGCCATTTTCAGAGCTCCGATTCATTGCCGTTTTATCCTAAAACAGGCGAAATTTCCACAACGGCACACTGCGATCGTCATTGTTCATGCGTGGTTGTCATACAAAGATTGTTTAGCAAATTCTTGCAACCGCGATTTCCTTAATCGTGATCCTTGTGTGATGCCAGAAAGAGACCGTAATCTTATCGGTCATCGCACATAGCACTTTCTGTTACGGAGCCACAACCGGCTGTTAAGGCAAATTTTTTCTGCATCTTTTTGCGTTTTAAATAAATAAATCATTATAAAAATAAAAGGATAATAGGATAATAACATGCACGTGGGAGGCGTTTGCGCTTTTGTGACAATTTATATCCCTACTAAAGTAATATTTATTTTCTGGCGCAATTCTAGGTTGTGAAACCCTGATTCTTGAGGATGTTCTTAATTACCACTCAAATCGCAGGCAAACATATCTGTCTTTATAGGTTGCTGCAGAACAATTCTGAAGAGAGTTGGCGATTTTAATGTTTCAATCCTTCCAGGCACCCCTCCGACGTTTCGCCACAACCTGGCCCTTCTTTTGGGAGATTTTTGATAGCAAATCTATTAAAATTAGCCTTAGACACAGTTTATTCAGCAGCTTTTCCAGGCTGTCGTACTTTTGCTTTCTTTTTGGACGTTGATACATACTTTTTTCCTGGGCCATTCTTGCGGAAATTTTCTTGAACAATATTCGTGTTTTTTTGTGGATTACGGTTAGATCAAGGTAGATTCATGGCCGCATAGCTCGTAGCCGAAATGCTTCCCGCTTGCATTCACATGCATTCACTTTTGCTAAAATTGGCTTTGAAGTTCTGATGCTGTGCCTTGCTGAGGTGCTAAGAACGAAGGAGGAAGCAGAATATCCGAACTGGAAAAATTAATAGAAAGTGAAGAGAAAATAAGAACCTGGAGAATATCCGGTATCGGGGGTTTTTCGAAATTTTTCAGATTGCCTTTGACATCTTCGGCTGACGCTGCTGCAACGCCGGGAGGATCAGAAGAATAAGCCATGAGTTTGTAAGAAGCTTTGTTTATTTTTTAATGTTGCGTTTCGGAAACTGGGTTATCCTTTTATTGTTAAAATTGGAACGGATCCTAACTTTTGCCGGGTACTATTTCATCACAATTAAGAACCAGTGATTAGAGAGTACGGAACGCGCCGATGACGCCGCTGCGACCGGGCTACTCGGCTGATGGCGCCGTATGGACGGCGGCTTGTTATAATTCTTATAATCCTCCGGTCGCTTTAGATCGGTTAGATCTGCTTCATGGTGCGCTGCGACGGTCCTGTGGGCATGCAGAAGCAAATGAACGGTCGTGTGAGTTCCGAGGTTCATTAAGATTATTGTTTTAACTATTATTTAAAAACTACATGAAATCAAATCAAGCTGACTCCGTGGTTTAGATGCCGAATGCACACTCTCCACACCCTTCGATCTAGCCATGCTAGTCTTGGTCACCGTACTACACGCTGTTCGGTAGGTTTCTGAACGGGTTTTATTAGCCCATTTCGGGCTATACTAATCTCAATTAATTAAAAATTTTAAATATTTCTGAGTTAAATGCCAAAAAATTTCATTTGTTAAATTTGCTCAGCTTGGGTGCTGCATTTCCTTTAATTCTTACAATGGTGATAGTCTCCGTCCTGAAATGCTTTAAATTTGAGCATATTCGTAATTTTAGGTGATACCAGGGTTGAAAAACCGCTTCGCGGCTTTTCAACCCTGGCCCCGTCCAGGACTTGTGAAAGTCCTTAATTTGCATGTTTCTTCCTGAATTCTAGCAAGAAAAAAGTGGAAAACGGCTCCTCTGTTCCTTTCTATAGGCTCTTCCTACTTCCGGCGCATGCTAATTTCCCCCAACAAACAGGGTTTTACAAAAACCTATTTTTAATAGCGAAAACCACAATTTCTCAAAATTTTTATGTGTGTGCAGTCGATTCCGGACCATTCTAAACCTATTGTCGTTTCTTCCCTGTCCAAAAAACCCTTCCCCGAGGCTGTAGGAGCGGAAGATCCAAACGGAAGTGCATGCAAATATACACACACACACACAAACACTATTTTTTTATATATTTAGGTGATATTTAAATGGAATTTTACATTTTTACTCTTGTTTAACCTCAAAATGTACTTCTCATATATATTGATTGTAACGTTTAAATGTTGTAACAATATAACCAATAAATTTAATAAAATGCGAGCAACAAGACATATTTTCATGTTAATATAGAGTTGGATCGCAGTAGGGATCGAAATTGCTATATATTTGTTGAAAAGTTGGGCATTGTTTGTTGGGAAATAATAGGCCGGAACTGGCGATAGCTTATATAATGGGTGAGAGCGGGGTAAAGGGAATCATCGGAAATCAGACGTATGTAGAGAAAATCTCGAAACGCGGAGCAGAAATAATGACCGAATTCATAGGGGAGGCTTCAAAAGGGCTGGGAAGCTTGTAGAAAGATTTCTAACCAGAACCTTTAGCACAAAACGACAAGACACGAAAACCGACGTTACGTTTCGATCCCGGTTGACGACGAGCAGGTTGATACGATCCGTCCTGGAATATGACTGCGTTTTAAAGGGACAGGTAAGGCAAGCTTATGGACTTCTATGGCTCAGGAGCCTAATTAGGAATGTCCTGTAATTAGGAAAAATTTGGCTAACCTGATATACGAATAAGCAATTCAGAAACATTTAATAATTAGGAATAAGTAACCTAAATTGATAAATAAAGCCATATAAAGATCAAAAAATCTAGATTGTTCGCATAACGTCATCCTCTTTCAGCTGAGGGCGCCTTCTCCATCACCACCCGGCTGGCGCTGAATGACCTCGACTTGAAGAGGTACGACATCATGGCATCAAAATTTTGTACAATCCAATTCTTTTTACTCAATTCCAAAATTTCGAAAAGTCGCAACAATTCTCGTGATTTCAGATGTGAGCGCGATCCCGACCACGAGCAAACTCTTCCAGAAGCTCAACCCGACGGCTTGAGCCTGAACTCTAATATTCTTTCTCTGGAATTCCCTAACGCCGATCAACACGGATTACTGTATTGTGCTCATATCTGCAAATTCACGGTCATTTTGGTATAAAGAATTTTAGCATAATTTATTAGGCAATTTCTACGTCTTTTCGTTTCTTGAATGCAACGTTGATGACGCAAGAAACGATTCCGATCAATATTGAGGCGGCGACGCAGGCTAGGGCGAGTCTAAAAGCTTGGCTTAGCGGCGTAGGCTTAGGCTTAGGGTTAGGCTTAGGCTTAGCTAAGGCCTATCTTAGGCTTAGCTTAGACTTGGCTTAGCTTAGGCTTAGGCTAACTTAACTTAACTTACAGTAGCCACAAGTTGAGCTTTGCGCAACACATCGGGGTCCCGTCCTCCTCCTCGCAACATCCATAGTAGTAGCGAAACATCGACTCCTTTGGGCATCTAGGTTGAAGGTTGAGGTGATGTACGCAATGATACTATAGTAGGCGAAAAGCTACACTGCTGAACGCTATCAAGGGAAGGGCACGCTCACAGGGTGGAGTTTCGAAAAACGCCCGACTTTGGTACCAAAAGTTTCAAAAGGCAAAACGAAAAAATCGCGAGCGGATCCGTACCCTGGCCACTATCCTATCAAGCTAGTTGCTTACCACTCGGCTATTCAACTGGTGGTACCATACTCATGGGAGACCCTAACAAGGCTTCCCCGGGATGCTAATTTTTCGCATGCAAATCATCATTTTCCGGAAGTGCTGTAACTCTGTCCACAGGCCTCCTTAGCAAAATTGGACAGCGGCATCGTGTCCTCCGTAGTCGACTACCCGGGGGTAGCCGCGAGCGTTTTTCGAAACGCCACCCTGTGAGCGTGCCCTTCCCTTGTAAGTTGGTTACCTCACGTAAATAAAAAACGCTCCTATTTAAATTTTTTAGCGTTAATTTAAAATATTCCGAAATATTTGATCCCAGAATCTCCCGGGCAATCCGCAAAATATGGCTGAATGCCGCAAATTCCTCGATGATTGAAATGGCGGTAATTTGGAATTTGGACAGGTAAAAATTATCCCTCTGCGTTTACCCAATTTCTGGGTAGAAAAACCAAAAAACTTTAGGTCAAACCCCCGGGTGAATGTCATTTTTAGGGTGGCCTTGTCGTGCGGGTGTTGCCGTGTGAGGCGATTGAATTTCGCGTGGATGTGCGCGGCCGAAAAGGGGGTATTGCGCCGGGCACTATAGCCAATCGTGGTGGCCCATCTCGACCTTCCTGGAATTCTGCTGCTTGCTTGTGTGTTTTATGTGGCCAAGGGGCCCGCGGTGGGACGGATCTCGTCTAGTTTACGGGCCTATAAAAGTTTGTCGCACCCGCGCTCCGCCGCCAGCTTGAGCCCTGCTTTTGGTTTCTTTGCGCTGGGTTTAAAAATTTTTTCGGTTAAATTTAGGTTCGATCGAGCGTATCGTTTTGCCAATGTCGTTTGATACGCGCTCATCGTTGCGGTCTAATCGGAAATATATCACTGAAGAGGTAAGAGGAAGAGGCTCAGCTTAGGTTTAACTTAGGCTTATCTTAGGCATAGCTTAGGCTTGGCTTAGGCTTGGCTTGGCTTAGCTGAGGCTTAGCTTAGAATTAGCTTAGACTTAGCTTAGGCTTAGCTTGGACTTAGCTTAGCTTAGCTTAGGATGTGCTTAGGCTTAACTTAGGCCTACCTTGGGCTTAGCCAAGGCTTAGTTTAGGCTTAGTTTGTGCATAGCTTAGGCATAGCTTAGGCTTGGCTTAGGCTTAGCTAAGGTTTAAGCTTAAGCTTATGCGCAGGTCAAACATCTACTATTTTGCAGATTATGACAGATGAGCACGACTCGCTCTGTCTACTACCAGCCTCAACACGTTGTCTATGTGCCTTGCTGACGTTGCTGTTAATTGTATCCCTATCGGCGGCTATTTTAAATTCGTTACAAGGTGGGTTACAGCTGACACATGCTTGACTACGCATGAAACACATTTACGTTCGCTTTCAGTGGCCTCGATCGGTTCAAAATCATTCTGCAAGCGATATCATGACGTCTTTCACCCGAGTTACTTGTGAGTAAGCCTAACGTATCGTAGCTCTAGCGTCCAGAATCGCCGCAAAGTGACGTAGCTCATGTGCAGTAACCTATTTTAGCGTACAGACTCGTAGCTTTGCGCAGCTTCCTGCCCGTGAAATTCTGTAGCTTAGCGTGAGTTAAAAGTCGAAAACCGAATCTTGATACGTACAGTAGCTTCGCTTAGCGTACAGTCGTGTAGCTTTTTGTATTCGATCGCATCAGTGCGTACTCAACCGTAGCCACAACGCCCAACCCGATTTTAGATGCCCAAAAGAGTCAATGTTTCGCTACTACGGATGTTGCGAGGAGGAGGACGGGACCCCGATGTGTTGCGCAAAATTCAAGTTATGGCTACTGTAAGTTAAAACCTCCTAAGCCTACGCCTAAGCCTAATTCGAAGCCTATATGTAATATTAAGCCTAAGCCTACGCCGCTAAGCCAAGATTTTAGACTCGCCCTAGCCTGCGTCGCCGCCTCGATATTGATCGGAATCGTTTCATGTATCATCAACGTTGCATTCAAGAAACGAAAAGACGTAGAAATTGCCTAATAAATTATTTTAAAATGTTTTATCACAAAAAGGAGCATTAATTCGCGGATATGAGCACAGTACAGTAACCCGTGTGGATGGCGTTAAAGGAAATTCCGAAAGAATATTGAGTTCAGGCTCAAGCCGTCGGGTTGAGCTTCTGGAAGAGTTTGCTCGTGTTCGGGATCGCGCTCTTCATCTCGCGCTCGCACCTGAAAGTATATCAAAATTGTGGGTCTTTTTTGTATGTCTGGGAATTGAGCAGAAAGGATGTGGGTTGTAAAATATTTTAATGCCGTAATTTTGTACCTCTCCAAGTCGAGGTCGTTCAGCGCCAGCCTGGTGGTGATGGAGAAGGCGCCCTCCGCTGAAAAGGATGACATTATGCCGGAAAATATAGATTTTTCGAATCGACTTTATCTTACTATTTGTTTTATTAACTTAATTTAATTATTTTTACTTCTTAGATGTATTCTTACATTAGATAATTCATCTATAGATTTTACATAGATTGTTCCTAATTACAGTACGTAACCTTACCGATATCAATCTCAGATCGTGCCGGGTCCCATCCGCAATGTTGTGAGACACGTAGTCCCTTTCCGTACGACACCTCCTCGATGGCGTGCTTCAGCTCGGGCCACAGCATGTCCAGAATCATACCTACAATCAGATAGGGTTTGCGCTTATTTAGCTTAGGCTTAGGTTAGGCTTGTCTTAAGCTTAGCTTAGGCATAGCTTACGCTTAACTTAGTCTTAGCTTATGCTTGACTTAGGTTTAGCTTAAGGTGGGTACCTCTCATCAAATCCAAAAAATTGAACAGCCTCCATCACTGAGGGAACGAGCCGCTCTCCTCCATCTTGATGTCGGTATCAGGGAGTTGGACGAGTGTACGCAACACCCGTTGTCGAACGTTGGCTGTAGTTGCGCCTAAAGGTTCGGGATTGGGTTTTAAGGGGTTGGAAAGGATGTAATAGACGATAAAGATGGTCAAACCTGAATCTTCAGCACAAAGGACACAAACACGGAAGTTACGTTACGATCCGGGTTGACGACGCGCAGGTTGATACGGTCGGTTCTGGAATAACGAATTTTTAAATGCACGGACAAGGCAGAGAGATGAATTTTTCGAACCGACTTCCACGAGGAGCGAGCGACTCGTTGGTGGCCTGTATCTGCGGAATGCCACTGGCCGAGACGTTCAACAGGAAGTAGCACTCCGTACACAGCGTTTGAAGGAAATCACGGGAATCGGCGGGGATCATTGGGGATGTCACAGGGATCTTCTCGGACATCCACTCGAAACTCCATTCGACCAAAAGCCCCTGGGTTTGATGTCGGTTTCCGGTACGCTTAAAGGCCCTGGAAAGTACCGAGAATCTACTCATTGGTTTGACTAGGTCTTGACATCTACGCAGCAAGCCAAGGCGCTAAAACACGCTAAGAAAATTGGGGTCCACGCGCCTTTAGAGCTTGAGCGTACCTGTCTAGACCTAGTCTATGGATGCGGTCGATCCTGACACTAGCGAAGGCTTTTAAAGATAATGGCAAGGTAAGAAAATAGCTTCTTTTGGCTATGGATTGCGATGCGATTTGCGAGCTTCCCAGTCCCTTTAAATCATTTCATACCTGGTTGATGAGCTCGTTGAGTACGGTATCCTCAAGCCATATCGTCACCCGGTCATCCCCCTTCAACTCCATCTCGAATTGGCTTGTGTTTGAGGTGGCGAATGGGTCCGACTCGTCGGTCCAGAAGAAGTTACTTGAATGGTCCTTTAAAACCGCAACATACCTGTCTGTTCCACTCGACAATGGCCCGGACGGTCATCTGATGTTCGTGAATGTCCACAGACCGCAGACGGTAGAACAGATTCGTCTCGTTGTGCGCCAAGAATTCGCGAGCTTGTGGTGGAAGGAGGGAGTGGATTGGGAAGCGCCTATAATGGAATCTGTTTCCGAAATGGACTCTGCTAGCCTGCCCCAATTATTTCACAAGCTATAGCACTGTCCTTCTAGCCTTCTGGAATCCAGTAATGTTCTCTGCCAGCCTGTCCTGTCTGGTGCTCAATCCGCAAAAGGTCCCTGCTGGCACGCCCTGTTCAGTCCTCCCTTGCTCATATTCCGATCTCCCAAGCCTCACTGGCTAGCCTGACTCCTAACCAAGACTCCAGAGGAATCTCAAACTGCCCCGGCGCAAGCTCTCCCACCTCCTCAACTTTCTATACTTCGTGGCTTGTTTTCTAAAAACTCAATGATCTCCGCTAGCGCTGGCAGACCTAGTTATTTTCCCCCTGAAACCTCTGCTAGCCGGCCCGTACCATGGAGCTCAAAACCTTACATGATATTGCTGTGTGGGATGCCGGCAAAAGTAGCGCGATAGAAGCGTAGCAGAGGGTCGAGTCGAGGGTTGGGGAAAACAGGTAGCCTAAGCACCGACATCGCTCCCTCTACCATCCGATTGGCCACCAAGATGGCTGGCCACCTGTGAGCGAATAATGACTAAAACTGGGAAGTTCCGTTATTTTAACGGTATTTAAAGTAGAAGGGAAGAATTAATAGGGGATCTGAAAACGGAGCGAAAACCCATGGAACACACGCCTTTGCCGTCCCTGAAAGGGCGGAGAACGCCTACCTTTGGCTCGTGAGCACAGACACTAGCCATAACTCACGTCCCCTCCCGATGATCACGATCTTCACCTCGCCGCGGGGTGGAACTGGAAATGGGGCTGCACGCCCCTTTGGAAGCCTGCCTCACATCCAGATCGACGTCGAGTTGATGCTCAGCCAATATCGAGAGCCCGGCGAAAAGCGTGTGAAATGTTGGCGACGAGCGGAGGCAAAAGGTCTGGAAAGATCCCTAGAGGGCTACTTCGCACACCAATAACAGTAGTACCGTACTGTAAGGTTACGACGCTGAGCGACGCTTAGCTAACGACGCTTACGTTCGCAATGGATATTAGCTTCGAGCCAAAATAAGCACAGCTACGGTATCTTATCGTGTAGCAGTACAGTACGGTACGCTACGCGACCCCGCACGCGCGATCCCCACGTTTCGAATTTTAGGGTGCGTTATGTATCGCTGGGATACGATACCAAGCTGAAAGCTGTCCGAGTACCGGCTGCCGATCTGTAATGGTCAAGCTACGGCTTTGTGTAATTGAATACACTAGCGTACGCTACAGCCACCTGATCCAATAATTGTACGCAAGGCCACGAGAGCATGCGCCTGACTACGTTAGTTGGTACGCTATCATAACCGTCAGCCACGGCATTGCTAACGCTAACGGCGTCGGTATACGATCGTCGGGTGGATCCGCACGTTTACGTCACCCTACGTTGCCGTGCGTTATGGTACAAATTTCGAGTTGCTACCGTAGTCGTACCCTGGTCAAAGAGTAAACCGCAGTGCCCGGTCCTCGAGGTGCAGCGGACGGATCCCGTAGCCAACCAGCGGCATTCATGTCGACGGCGGCTAGCGGGGGAGAGACCCGGATGCTTCACGGTATCGTCATCAACAACTGGAAGCAAAGCAAAATGGCATTTAAAGGGACCAGCAAGGCACAGGGTTGGGTTCTGGCTATGGAACTCCAGCTGCTTTCCTCCCCCCCTGTTAAAGGGCCATTGAAGGGGAGGAGACGAACCCCAACATGCGCGGCGTACGGCAAGGAGAAGCTGGGCAGCGTGGCGGAGGTGTTGGGTGAGGCAAAGCCGCCCCGTCCCCGACGACAACACCAAGTTCAGAAGTAGCGACATATTTGAAGAAGAATAGCAGAGAAGGCCGAGAAATAAATACCAAATAACGTATAAGAATAAATACCGCACTTCGAGCTGCTGGAAAATACTTCACCTAATCTATTACACGTAATGTAGACGTTACGTTACGTCACAGCTGGTCTTCAAATAACAGTGATGCCGCCACGCCAATACGCTAAATACGCTAAACAGTACGGTAAACTTAGTAGGTGGGGCACGCTTTGGCAACCTGTTACGCCATAAATTAAATGTGTTTAGGTGTACGCGTTGGTTACTACGGTACGTAAGTGAATTTTTCTTCTGGCATGGTTAGCGCAATGTATTCCATTGGGAATTGTTCATTTTAAAGAAGCAAATAGTCATCGACGCTGCGCTACAACAGTAACGAAAATGTTTCTGAATATGCCACATGCTGTCATATTACATTTTTGACTGCCACCCTTCCAGCAGAAAGTTGTCATCATGGAACGATAAGAGCTATCAGAGAAAATATGCTGAGCAGCAGCTGACTTCTAGGTCATAGAGAGTGGGCGAGATAGAGAGAAAGGCTAGAGAAAGGAGTAATACTCTCTGGGGTGTCTGAGTCAGCTGCGTTCAGAAATTGAATGTATTGGTGAGGGGAGGAGGAGGAAATCCGGGAGGAGACTGGATCGGGGTCGATATACGGGGGAGAGAGGGCCGATTCGAGCCAAGGACATCCTCGCTTTTGCTCACTCGCCTTCTTCTGCTCTTCACTCTCTCTCTCTCTCACTACCTCAATACCTTAGTTGACAAATCTCGGTGTCGTCTAGATCTGGCGCCTGCGAGGCATCGACTCTGCTTTTATTTGAGGCGATCCGATCACCCACCAGATGACACTGCTCGAAGGGGGGGGATTGATAGCTTGAAATCGTCCCCTTAATCGTTTTCGAGCTCGGGGACAGCGATTTTAGCGTCTCGGGAATTTGGAAAACAACAAAAACCGTGCTTTACTGTAGTCCGGAGCTGAAAAAACCCGCTGTTTTGTCTCGAATTTGTCTGTATTATCGATCAAAACGCCATTTTCCAGAAAATGCAGATATCGTAGCTTTGATGGAAACGGGAACGCCGAGCCCGGGAATAATTTGTGGGAGTACTTTGACCGGTAATACAAGCCTGTTTATCAATAAAGTGGTACCGAACCGGCTGCTCAAATTCACACAGAAAACTACAAGATCGGGAATCTTCTAAACCCCTTTTTCTAAATATGCCTAGCCTTCAGTGGGGGGGTCACCACGCAAAATTTCAGAAATTGACGGGACGTTGATGCCGAAAGTAGTACGGCAGTTCTAAAAAAAGTGTGTTTCTCATGATATTGTTTGCGAGATCGCCGATGTTTCTCGTTTGTAAACACTTCACCGCTAACTTGTCGCCGTGAGAACGAAAGCTAAAAAAAAACAGCGGTTCTGTCGACTGTCTCGCTCTCGCCTCTCTCTCTCTCTCTGGCTGTCTTTCCCCCTCTTCCTCCCAAGGCTAACAAAACTGTTTCGAATCACGAGAATCCAAAGCAATGTTTAACAGTCAAAATTGTTCCGATTTTTGCCGCAGCTTCCATGTTGGCAGAAAAATTTCCCAGAAAAAGAGAAATCGAAGTCGAATTTGGAAGAAAAGTGAAACTTAGCAGAGATCCTTTAGGAGCAGGTTTTAAGTCGGCAGAGATCTCGGAGGATTACTTAACGAAACCGAGGCTTTCTAAAGCTTTCCTGCCCAAGCAATCTTGTAATGGTCGATTGTTCCATCAGATATCCCTAATGGTCATCCTCTCCCCAACCATGAGCTGCTGCCATTATCATCCTCTCTCTCCCCTCTCTCTCTCTCTCCTCTCCCCCTCTCTCTCTCTTCCAATTTGCTCCCTATCTTTTGCTATTTGTGGGGTGTACCCAGTTGTCTGTCGTGCTCCCTCTGCTTCTCCTCCTCTCCCTCTCTATCTGCTGCCCCGCTTTTTTGAGGGTATGGTGGGTGGTTGTCGGTGTGTCGAGATGCGAAAAAGCAATGGATGGGGCCCCCTATGCCCTGATTCTCATCCTCCTCATCATCGCTCAATTTTCGGGCACGCGCCGATAGCGATTTCCATCGGCGATCCTTGCAGCAAAATTGTGTTGCTTCTTGTAATTTCACATGTTGCAGGGGGTTTTTGTCAGCATAGAAGCGGGACGGGCAAGGCATGGCTATCGATTCTGAGGGTACCGCGACACGCAACGCGCGCGTGGCTGATCCACCCCGCGAAGGGCCTCAAACTAATTACGCACGGAAAAACTGGATGCGTTGTGCGTGGCGGGGGCCACCGGAACCAATTTTGTATAATAATGAAAAAGCGTCTCGTACCTTTAAAAAATCATGAAAATCTAGAAACTACGTTATTTTCTGAAATCATTAAGTTATTTTAATTTGGTTTTTAACTTTGTAAAGTTGCCAAAGCTCGGGAATCACTTTTTTTAGATCTAGACTAAAACTTTCAAAAATACTAGGTTAAAACGTACGAATTCAAAAAAAGTGGAACCTTCCCATGAAAAATGAGAGCACGAGTCAGGCCATAACCTCTTTTGGGACCAGTTTCCCCGAGAAAAACACGATCTCTCAGCCTTTCCGCTCATCATTTCTGGAGCGCGTCACCAGCATTTTGTAAACACTTCCAAGCTTAACTTGTTGTCCTGACAAGGAGCCTATAAAACCTCAAAATTCTTTCTTCTCTTTCTTCTCTCTTCTTCTCTCTCTTCTCGCTGTCTCTCCTCTGGCCACGCTAACAAAACTGTTTTGAGCTACGGAATTTTGCGCAGAATCACAGCCAGTCTTCCACGTTTTCCAAGCGTTCATCCCCGAAAAAGCGCAGTGTACTACCAGCCATTTTCGAAACAATCCCACCCCACCTGGCCATCTCACCTGGTTTCCGAAAAAGGGAATTGTGGAAGCCCACTTCGGCGAGCAACCTTCAAAAAATGTCGGTCCGGACCGGTCAGGCATTGAGAGTGACTCGACACAATGATGCTTATGAAAAATTGACATTGACGTGAGCGAGAGAGAGAGAGAGCGAGAGAGAGAGTGAGAGAGAGAGAGGACAGAGAGAGAGAAAAGCTCGAGATCCCTGATTCCAAACTTTAGGTAGTCGATGACGATGGGCCTTCAAGAAACCCCGAACCGGGCGTCAGAGTTCGCGTCCGACCGCGGGCAATACATTACGGAACCAGGTAGCAGAGATGACCCTGCGTGTTTAACTCTTGTAGACACCATACCTATTTTATATTACGTTAATTGTGGCTGAAATCAAAAGCTTGTTAATGCATTTTTCGACGCTCTATCGGATGCTGTGGAAAGATACCCAAAATAACCGCGAAACTAACGAAAATTTGAATATTTCCGGGCCATTGGGGTAACGTCGCTAGGCCTTTGGCTCTAACTAAATTCTTTTAAATCAATTTCCACACTTTTTCCCCTCGTCCACTTCTCGAACCAATACCACCAACACCCTCACAACAAAGTTATTCCAATAAGTCCCGAGCTGTTTGCCAACGACTAGGTGTCGACCCGAGAGGCAAAAACGGCGCTCAGCGCATATGCTCCCGTTTTTCTCACCCATTCCATCCCCCAACCGACCTTCTCACCACCCACTGCCATCGGGTAGAACAGCAGCCACCCCCGAGGGCAAGTAAGCACGTTTTGCTCTCACCCCCGGTGGTGGTACACACCGTCAGGGTTATTAACATTCCTGGCTCGTTTCCTGGAGAAATAATTGTATGGTAACACTCGTAAAAAATACATTTCGTGAATCAGGCAATGGGTAAAAGCGACACCAAATATTTAGAAAGCCTGCTGTCAAGACCGAATTTTTCCTGAGTATCCCATTTTCGATATTCTGTTGTTTTACAGCTTAGAAGCAAAAAACCCACAATTTTCACTTAAAATCCTAAAAACGATTTTTCTCCCAAAATTTCGGATTTTAGACATTTTAACATGTTTTTCGGGATAGTTTTTTTGATGTATTATAATTCAATTTTACTAAAAACTCTAGGAAAACAAATACTCTCTATCCAAAAGAACCGAATAAAACCCTGCCTGTTGAACTCCTTTCGACGTCGGCACCATTTACTCAGCGATGTGTGTCGTTTCGATAAGGAAAATCAAGTGTATTAGAATTTCACAAAGTAGTTTTTAAATTTTTTTAGGTAGCCTCGAACCTACTAGCCGAACAACTGTTTCGGCTCATGATCCCAACATTGAAAGCATCGACTGCCCGCCGACCAGGGCGTCATCAAGCTGTCCTGGAACTGGATGTCCAGGCTCAAGGCCGGTCCCAAAACGTCGATTCATCAACTAGCGATTCTGGTAGGCCGAGGTGCACGACATCTCCACGTCGGCGCCTGATCGAATCAAATGGCTCATCAAGAATATGAATACTGCGGAGATCTACACAACTTTATGGTTTTTCGGTTCTTTGGCATTATCGGGGGGAACCAAATTTTACGTTAAAGATAACTATAA